GGGGTATCTTATTTGTTTGCTGTGCTCCTGGCTATCAGGAAAAGGAGGAGCTGAAAGAAATAGAGGGGCATAAAATTACAAAATGGCTAAAAATAGAGGAGAGGGAGCTGGGTTTGGTAGCCACCAACCAATACCCTATAGCTGGGGCAGAAACAGACAGGGTGTAAATAACTGAGATCAGTGAAAAATACAGGAGAAAAAATAGTTGGTGATACATGAGAAAATGAGATCTCTCCATAGCTTCAAAAAATCTGAATTAAACGGAGAATGGAAGGGGGACAAGGCTCTGTGGAGCAGCAACAATGGGCAGAGAGTTTATGGTAAACCAATAAAATGTACTTATGTCTGAATGTGAAATTAGACTCTGAAAAATACGGTCTCAAGGCACCTGCTAAAGAGCTTACTGGAATCTTAATAAATGACTCATGCTGTCATAATCTGATCCTGACATCAACTCCCAGGGCTGGAGTTCTGCAGCTCGGGAGAGGGGGAAGGGGAGGCTGCAAGACTGGGATGGAAATGGGCAGGTAAAAAACCATTTACACAAGAGATATTGGTAATTTTTGCTATTTTGCTCCTTTGCAAACCCAGAACAAACAAGACTTGAGCAGAGGAATTCTGCAGCACCAGAAAAAACCAGGAATTTTTCTTTACCTGATGCTCTGGGTTGTTTTGTGAAGGATGTGTGGTTTCCTTCCAAATCCAAAATAAGATTTTAGTGGGAAGAAAGAACCAGATGAGAGAGTTACCAGCACAAAATAGGGGAGATCATTGAGAGTACTGAGGGAGAGATTAATTCTTCTCTCCTGGTCCTGCCTTAGACACAAACTTTTCTTTTGCTTTGGGAAATCCTTTAGCTCCATTCATTTCGAGGTTATAAAAACTTCCCCTCTCCATAGACATATGTTGAAAATTACATTTATTAATTCTTTTAATCTTCTATAAATTTTAAACAGGACTGTTAATTATTAGCTTCCTCTCTGGCAGCACATTGCAAACCTCAGCTTGACACAGGGAACTTCTTTTTCCAGACCTTGAATGACAGACTGTTAAAAGTGCCCCAGAAATTGGAAAATTCAGAGCAAATTGAGGGGAAAAGATGGCCAAGGATCACCTTTGGGTTACAAATGTGCTGTGTGGGTCATTTTTCTATTCCCTCTGGTTGATTTGGCCGCTGCTGAGGGAAAGTTGAGATTTTCTCCAAGTGCTCAGTGAAGCCCTGTGGGTATTACAGAGCTCTGCACACACCAGCCAGATTCTGTACAGGAATAAATGCTCATTTCCCTGCTGCAGCCCAGGTGCAGGGCCAGTAAGGAACTGCTTATCATGTTCAGGGAAAATCACAGCCTGTGCCCACAGTTCTGGGTGAGTTTAGAGCAATGGCAACTTATTAGTCATGGGTTTAACAACCAGCTCCTGCTCGGGGTTTTTAACGGGAATAATTTCACTTTTTCTTCCTGATGGTTTTTCTTTTTTTCCTTCTTTCCTTTTTTGCACACGCTGGTGTTCCTGGATACTTGAATTTTTTAGGCATTTTGCTCTCTTGCAAGATTAATGACATGGATATAAAACTGATGGGGAAGGGAAGGGATTGGATCTCTAATGGAGTAAATCTGAATTTTTCCAACCTGGGTAAAACTATTTGATTGCTTAGATCACTTTCCTTAATTTGCACTCCTAGTTTTTGCACCCCTGATTTCAGCTTTGCTTTTTAAGCAAGATGGGTGCAAGGAAGAGTTTCAGTATCCATCTAAAGGTAGCTGCAAAATGCTCAAAGAGGAACAAATAAAATAACCAAAATCTTTCAGAACGTGGGGTGGGTTTTTTGTCTTGCGCAATCCAGGATCTTACAAATTAACTACAGTTAAAAAAAGCAACCACAAAACAAACCCAACAGAAAAACCCCAACAACAACAAACCCCAAACAAGCAGAAAAAAAACCCCAATCAGGCCTGGAAATCAAATTCAGGTTGTGCAATGTTCTCCTGTTTAAATCAGACAGATTGTTTAAAAATAAAGCTTCAATGTTGCTGTCATTTTTCTCCCTCCCCTCCCTGGTTTTGCCATTAAAGCCTCACTGTTGCCTTTTGCTCTTTGAGCAGCTTTTGGCCTTGGAGAGGCAGCTTGGTGTGGTAAATTTCCCTAGGAACTGGTTTTTAAGGATGGATCCATCCTAAAGGTGCTCAGCCTGAGGGATTCCTGGTTCCCAAGGACTCCATGCAGTGTAGGAATACTTGGATGACAAAGCATAAATTATGCTGGTTTTTAGAGAAAAATCCAGTGCTAAATTTGGGGTAAAAAATGTCAGTAATTTCCAAGACAATCCTGTTAAATAGCATGGAATAATAAATGTACCAAGGCAGTTGTGCAGGGGGAGCTGCTCAGCCCAGGCTGGTTGAGGAGAGGTAAAAGGGAGGAACGAGGGAAATTTGGGTGAGATTCTGCTGATTGTAATGAACCCTGGGAGTGCTGAGCTCTGGGATGCTTTGGGATCAGCCCTTGGGATCAGCCTGTGCTTCAGAGCAGGACCAAGGAGTTGTGTGTGCCCTGGAGATCACTATGGGATGGTTCTGCACATGGGACACTGCTGGGGACACCCCTGGGCAGAGCAGTGCTGGCTCCTCTCATCTCCTGCCCCATCTCAGCCGCACCAGGAGTTGCTCCTTGGGAGGAAATGCTCCTTGAGGGCTGAGAAAATGCTCCTGGAGGGCTGGGGCAGGACAGCAGGAGGAAGTGGAGCTGCCCTGTTCCCCAGCCATGTTCCCAAGTGCAGATGAGGCTGTTTTGTCCCAAGTGCCTCTGTGGGGAGCCTGAGGAGAGATTTCCCAACCAGAAAAACCCAAGGAACCCGCAGGGCTTTGGGGAAATAGCATTCCTTTCACCTTATCTCTTATGGAGGGGAGAGGGGGAGGTTGCTGGGTTGGAAAATAAACCAGATGGCTCTGTCATTGTAAAAAGTCTCTTCAGATAAGAGTGCAGGGAATTCCATCTCTCTCTGTGCTGTGGGCAGAGCCTGGCTTGGGGGCAGGAAGAGCCCTTTCCCCTCCAGCTGATTGGTGTTGGGGAATGCAGGGAGAGCCCCATCCTGGGAAATAACCCCAAAGTCACGTTTTGTGTTAATGCCCCACCTCAGCTCCTCAGCCCAAATCCACAATATCCACGTGCTGCTGGAGACTGGGAGCAGCACTAACACTTCCCACTGCTGAGATACTTGGAATATTCTCTCTGAGTCTTCTTTTTTCTGTTTTCTCCTCACTTGGGTGCAAGAAATGCTGCCAAGCAGGCAAAGGTGAGGGGGATGGAGAAGCACTCCTGGTTTATTCCTTGTCTCATCTCCTTTTGCTAAATTCAGTGAATATTTTCGTATGTATTTTTTAAAAAGTTTTCCCAACCTGATTAGTTTTGAGGTCACATCACTGCAGCCTTGGCTCCAGTGAAATCAACACCAGAATTCCCAGCTTCCCCAGAAGCTCAGGTGTAACCACTCTCCTTGGAATATTCCCCAGTTTGGCTGGAATCAGTTGTGTTTTGCCTTCCCTGTTGTTGTAGCAGTGTTTGCAAAGGTGTGTGTGGTACCAAGCTCTGCCAGAGGAGCTTTTGGGAAAAGCTTAGGGCAGCCAAGATGAGCCCAGCCTCTTTGGGATAATTGTTTGTGTGTTTTGCTTTGGGTTCACTTTGTTTTTCTAACTCAGCTGCCAACACAAAGAACCAGGGGAAATAATTCCGAGTAAAATTTCAATTTTCTTTATTTTTCTCTCTCCTTGACAAATTAAAAAAAGAGCAATATTTCATTTCACCAAAGCCCTGAAGTGCTTCATTTGGGTCATTAGGAAAAGCAAGGGAAATGAAGGGTTAGACTTCAAAGGAAGTGCTTGGGGGCAGCTCCCATTCATCCAGGATGGAGGAGACCCTGCTCCAGCTTTTTCCTCTGCTGGAGAGGAGTTGGAAACTCTTGTCCTGCTTCCTGGGAAGGTTTGCTAGGAAAAGGCTGTTCTGGGTGAGGATGGGATTAGGTGGAAAATGAGCTGGAGGAGACACAGGCTAGATGTAAAAATAAAAACAAGCAATGTTGTAAAAGCTCTATAATTGATTTCAAGCTGCAACTTGGAAAATGAAACTGGAAGTCTTGGTTGTTTGTAAGGTTCCTGAACTTTATATAGACATAGTAGATAAATTTACATAAATGCTATCTGTATTGATTTTGTGACAATGAAATTTCATCTATCTGTGTTTTAGAAGTCCAGGTTTATTAACACACGTTTTAAGGTGTAACACCTTTCCAAGCACAGCAGAGATGGCTGAGAGCTGTGCAAACCCTGCTTGTTCAGGACACATGGTACCCCTGAATTGTCCTGTTCTTACTGGCTGTAGCTTTTGTCTCTGCCTCCTAATCGACCGTAAAATAGTAAAGAAAAATTCAAAAATCCAGACATCCAAGAGTAAATCCAGAGCAGAGCTGTTGCATGAAACAAATATTATTTGTTGAGGATGCTTCATCCAGGGCCTAGGATCCAGGAGAGCTGAAGAGGGACTTGGGACAAGGGATGGAGGGACAGGACACAGGGAATGGCTTCAGACTGAAAGAGGGTGGGGTTAGCTGGGATATTGAGGAGGAATTGTTCCCTGTGAGAGTGGGGAGGGCTGGGCTGGAATTCCCAGAGCAGCTGTGGCTGCCCCTGGATCCCTGGCACTGCCCAAGGCCAGGCTGGACACTGGGGCTTGGGAGCAGCCTGGGACAGTGGGAGGTGTCCCTGCCATGGCAGGGGTGGCACTGGATGACCTTTAAGATCCCTTCCAACCCAAACCAGGCTGGGATCCCATGCTTTTGGAGGGAAATCCTTGCCCTGAGGGGATGGGCATCAGCAGCGGCCTGGCAGCGCTGGGTGTTTGTTGGCGACCATGTTGGGTGTTTGTGGGTGACCGTGCCAGGTGTTGGTGACCATGCTGGGTGTTTGTTGGTGACCGTGCCAGGCTAGAGCCACCCCTGTGTCCCTGTGCAGGTCCCTGGATGGGCGGCTGCAGGTGTCCCACAGGAAGGGCCTCCCCCACGTCATCTACTGCCGCCTGTGGCGCTGGCCCGACCTGCACAGCCACCACGAGCTGCGCGCCATGGAGATGTGCGAGTTCGCCTTCAACATGAAGAAGGACGAGGTCTGCGTCAACCCCTACCACTACCAGAGAGTGGAGACCCCAGGTACACCACAGCCCTGCCCCTCTGCCTCTCCTGCAGCAGGAGCCAGCTCCGATGGCATTGCCAGGAGATCCCTGCCCTCCTCTGCCTCTCCTGCAGCAGGAGCCATCTCCGATGGCATTCCCAGGAGATCCCTGCCCTCCTCTGCCTCTCCTGCAGCAGGAGCCATCTCCAATGGCATTGCCAGGAGATCCCTGCCCTCCTCTGCCTCTCCTGCAGCAGGAGCCATCTCCGAGGGCATTGCCAGGAGATCCCTGCCCTCCTCTGCCTCTCCTGCAGCAGGAGGCATCTCCGATGGCATTGCCAGGAGATCCCTGCCCTCCTCTGCCCCTCCTGCAGCAGGAGCTATCTCCGATGGCATTGCCAGGAGATCCCTGCCCTCCCCAGCCTCTCCTGCAGCAGGAGGCAGCTCCCAGGGCATTCCCAGGAAATCCCTGCCCTCCTCTGCCTCTCCTGCAGCAGGAGGCAGCTCCCAGGGCATTCCCAGGCACAGTGGGTCTATTATTGGTGATAATCCCTTACTCTGTGGAGTAGGATAATTTATGAACCTGCACCCAGGGGGAAAATATCGTTGGGAATTGATGAAATCCAAGTGAGCAGGTTCCCAGTGTGGCACTATGTGCACATAACTCACAGCAGGAACCACAGCAGTGTTCTGTGCATCCCTCACTGCTGGGGTTAAATTAAGGATAAACTGTTGAGCTGGGTCTAAGAACAGCTCCCAGCTTCCTGTTCTGGAGTCTCCTCCTGCCTCTGGAAGAGACTTTGATCTGGAGCTGCAGGAGCTTCTGCTGCGTGTCAGCACAGATCTGCAGAGCCAGGCAGGATGTTTATGCTAATCCCACTGCCTGCTCCATCCTATGGGAAACTCATTCCTTGGGAATCATGGGGTGCACCAGCTCTTAAATGGTGTTTCAGGCAGAGCTGGAAGGGGGCAGAGAGACCAGATGTGCTCAGATAAGCTCTATCCCATTCCCAGCTGGGAATCAACAGCATCCTCACCTGCTGCTGCTATTCCAGAGGCAAACTTCAAATCCTGTCCCTTAACGGGCCCCTGTCTTTCAAGCTGTCACTGCAGCCTGGTTTCTCCTGGTTTCCTGCTGTTCCACTCACTGACTTTGTGGTTGTTGCACAGTGCTGCCCCCGGTGCTGGTGCCTCGGCACACGGAGATTCCGGCCGAGTTCCCGCCCCTGGATGACTACAGCCACTCCATCCCAGAGAACACTAACTTCCCTGCAGGTATCGAGCCCCAGAGCAACTACATTCCAGGTACCTTGTGTCTTCCATCCAGCGAGCAGAGGGAAGGGTCAGGGAGCACAGGGAATCCTGCCTGGGCATCCCAGACTGGGAGTCTGCCTGTCCAGCGTTCCTCTGGAGCTGCAGAGTGCAGAAATAGCTGGGAATTGGGAATGGGGGCACTCAGCATGTTCATGGCTTTGTTTTGTTGGGTTTAAACTCACCTCTTCATTCAGGGAACAGCCTCAGTTTGTTGTGAAATCTAAACTGGATGTTCCCTTACCGGGTTGAGATTTGAATGGAATTCAGCCATTTTGAGTAAAACTCTCCAAATTTCTGATGGAATTGAGCTTGTCTATTTATGTATCTATTTTACAAGCAATTTACACCTTATTTGCATGGACTAGTTATGCAGCTGCACTCCAGGAGAGGAGAAATATGTGGACAGAAAACTGCCTCCATGGCTTAAAGTTTCATGGGACTGAAAATCCGGATTTTTTTGTTTTCCCCCTCCTGTTATTCACAAATATGGATATCATCCTGGCTGTGCTGGCTCCTCCTTCCAGCAGCTTGAGAAAGAAAAGTAATAAAAAAGAATTTGAGCTCCTTGTGAATGACAAAGTGAATGTTTTTGGTGCCTAAAGTCTAGACTTTTCAGTTGCACTGACAGCGTGATGGTTTTGTGCCTCCAGAGACCCCTCCTCCAGGCTATCTGAGTGAGGATGGAGAAACCAGTGACCACCAGATGAACCCCAGCATGGATGCAGGTGAGTCACCTTTGGGGTTTTAATTTAGTGGCTGTATCCCAAAGGAAGTTGAATGTCCAGGTTTTCTCTCATTGCCACGAAAAGAAGTAGCCAGGTTTGGAATGAGGGTACCTAATTTTTGTTCAAATAATTCATATATTATGTTCAAATAGCCCACATTAATGTTCAGATGTCATGGATTTCCCTGATTATAGAAAAAAAAATAAAGCAACCAGCTCAGAACAGTGTGAAAGGAAAAATAAAAATGGGCTGTAACATCTGTCTGCATCCATGGGACATCCAAGTGCAGATACTGAAAATATAGGCCCAGAATTGGTGGCAGATTTACATGATGGAGGATAAAATTCTGACAGCTTTTTGGTCAGATCTGTGTAACCTGATCCAATACTCCATTGTCCCAAACCCAGCAGGATTTGGGATATAAAGTGTTATGGTTTTAATTTTATTTTGTCTGGCAATGTACACCCGAGCTCTTTAATGCCCAGCTAACTGGGTTTGTCAGGATGATACCTGAAAGCAAAACAGCCAAGTGCTGCTCAGTTTGGAAAGTTAAAGGGTTAAACTCCAGTGAATTCCCTGTGAAGGGGCAGCAAGTTGATATGTAAGGAGTAGTGAACATGAGAGAAGCTGCAGTGTCAGAATTGAGCCTGCAGTGAGCACTGGGCTGTCCCTCCAACAAGCCTGGGCAGCCCTGCAGATCCTGTGAATGTTTTCCTGGTGCAGATTCCGTAGCAATAATTACCCCATCTTGATTTTCAGGTTCTCCAAACTTATCACCAAACCCCATGTCTCCAGCACACAACCTGGGTAAGCACATGATCTTGGGAGCTGGGATTACAGTCAAGAGGGTGACATTGGAATGATGCTGTTGAAGTCATGCACTTTTTGCAATATTCCAATGGTTTTGAACTGCCAGAGGCAGCTTTGGATTGGATGTGAGCAGGGAATTGTTCCTGGGAGGGTGGGGAGGGCTGGGCTGGAATTCCCAGAGGATCTGGGGCTGCCCCTGGATTCCTGGCAGTGTCCAAGGCCAGGCTGGAGCACCCTGGGACAGGGGAAGGTGTCCCTGGCCAAGGCAGGGGATGGAACTGGATGGGATTTAAGGTCCCTTTTAATCCAGCCCATCCTGGAATTCTGTGATTCTGTGAGACTGAGCAGAGAGAAGTGGAGCAGACTGGTTGGTATGGGGTTGGAGAGCCCAAATAAGCAGGGAATGTGCAGGAATGCCAGGGAATGGAGAGGCCATGGACAGCACTCCTGCAGCACCAGAGCTGCTGGTGGTGGGGGAGATGCACAAAGCACAGATGCTGCTCTGGCTCACACCAGCTGCTTTTCCTCACCCAAACTCTGCAATCTGGAGTTGTTTTCCCCCCAGCTCCATCTGGGCACAGGGAGCACATTCCAGCCCCAAGGACTCTGTCAGACCATGGCTGGCACTGACTCACCCCACACCTGTGACAGAAACAGGGAACCCTGAGGAGGAGGGAGAGCAGCTGAACCTCTGAGACACCACGAGAGCTTTTGTGGCTCTCTCTGCACCTCTCTTACCTCAGAAGTTCCACCCTTTATTTTCATTCTGATCTCCATCACTGAGCTCCTGCCCTGTTTGGAATTGCTGTGCCATAAAAATCCCTCCCAGCTCTGCCTGGCTGCAGGATCAGCTCCCCAACTGTTCATTAAGGCAGCAGACAGAGCCCACTTGAGACTCCTCTGGAATAACCATGGCCATAAAGTTTACATATGCTTTTAATCCTGGCACGCAGGACTTTGACACTGCTCCAAAATTTGTCAGTCATTGGCTGACTTTTGGATATCTTGGGGCTGTTGAACAGAGGATTTCTTTTTTTTTCTCCCTTTTTTTTTTAAATATTGCCATGGTGACACAAAACTTTTATTTCTTTAACTGCTACAGCCCAAGAAGAAAATGTATGGCTGCCTGGGAGCTGATGAGATTTTCTTGCAGTTTTTCCTGCAATTTTCCTTTTTTTTTTTTTACCTAAAAATAAAAAGCCAATTCCATGTAACAAACTCAACCTGGCAAGTGGTATGTGCCTTCCACAAGGCAGAGAGGATTTCCTAGGAAGCAGATCCCCCAGATCCTTCCTGAAGGGACACTGGTTAGTAACACATCAGATGGCTCAGGTGCTGTCTGGGGACAAAAAAAGGAGCAGGTGAAGCTGGTAAAGCACGAGGAGTCTCTTTGTAGTCTGAGGAGCAGACAGCAGAGAAGCAGTTTAATTTACCAGCATTAAAAAATGCCTTTGAATTCTTGCAAACCATATTTATTGCTCTCAGGCAGGCGCTTCCACAAATGAAGAACTTCTTGTTGCTTTTAATTTTATTGTAAATTTTTTGCCTTTGAGGAAGCTATGAAATAATAAATGAAAGAGCTGCTGAGCCACACTTAAAAGTGTCCAAGGGCAAAATTGTCATCACATGAGTGTTGTAAATGGTTTATCTGCAGCAAGGAGCTGCTCTCAGGGCAATCAGACCTTCAGCCTGAGGGTCAGAGCCCAGCAAGGAGCTGCTGGTGGCTGCTGACCTGCTGCAGCACTCCTGTAATTCCTGCATAAGCAAACTCCACTGTCTAGGGCTGGACTTTGCTCTGCAGGAGTCCATTGAGGCTTTCTGTGTGTATCTGTGGAGAAAATGGAACAGAAATCCAGACCCCACAGCAGCGTGTGCAAGGAGGGAGTTTCTCAGCTCTTCAGCAGAGCAGGGGCTTTGCCATGAAGAAAACAATGTCCCAGGATTGCTTTGTGGATTTGAGCAGAACTACCTGCAGCTTCTAAGACAGTTCACTTTGTGTAAACTGAACTTTGGACCTAAATCCCATGGCCATATTCCAGGGAGCTCCAGAGGCAATAAAGCAGCACAAGGCAAACCAAGTGTGACACCAGGGGCAGGGTTACCTCGAGGGCCAGGGCAGGTTTTCCATGTCTGAAACGTGGGGTGGAAGGAGCTCAGGGAATTTCATCTTTCCATTCCCAGGCACAAAAGCGTTGCAAGGTAACATATTGGGACTTTTTTTTTTAATTCTCCTTTCAGATTGTGTTGGAGTTGGAAGTGTTGGGTTTTGGTTCCAAATTACAGTTGTCAAGTTTTCAGTTGTCAAACAAAAGCTTTAAGTGGAAGTCACAGATATCCGAGGATCTCTTCCCTATTGCTGAAACACAAACTGAGGGGAATACTAAAAACAAAATGAAAGGAGAGCTGCCAGCATTCTGTGGGCATTGGGAATGAAGTCAGGGAGAGGAGGCTGGCTGGGGAGCAGCCCTGTGGTCACACACACATTGTTGCTCCGAGGGGGCCATCCCTGGAGCACAGGAAATCCATTGTCAGGGATTGCTCCACGGAAGGGCTTGACGCAGGAACTGTCACAGCAGTGAGCACATGGCCCTTGCTCACATCCACGTCCCTCTGTCCCCTGTCCCAGGGCACAGCCAGCCTTCCCTGGCTGCACAGGGAAGGGAACATCTCATTTCCAAGGAGGGGGCTGGGATTGGCATGGTTGGAAACATCTCTCAGTGAGCTGTGAGCCCTGTTTTGATCAGACACATTCCCTGAAATGGGGCAACAACTTCCCTGTGCTCACAGGGGGAGCAGAGCAGGCAGCAGATTTTCCCCAGACCTTTGATCTGGCAGAGAGGATGCAGGACTGGGACCATCCCAGGGCCCAGAGGACACTTCTGACAGCAGAGCTGTTTCTGAGTCAAGGCTGAAATTGTGCAGAGATGATTCAGGCAGGATTTTGCTGGGTTTCATGTATCCTGTTTTATTGATTGTGTTACCCCCACAGGGTTCTTTGGCTTCAGCAGAGCTGCATTCTCTTCCTTTTCCCCAAACACTGAAGCCATAAATTGAAAATGAATATTTAGGACAGCTCTAACACAAGAGAGAACTTGCCCATCCCACAGCAGCTTAAGCTGAAGTTTAAAACTACAAATCACAGGAGAAAGCAGCATCATAAAAAACTTGGTTGCAGTTTTTAGAGACAAGCTTTTCCTCAAACCAGGATTTGTTGGTTTACGTCTTTCCTCAGGCTGCAGATAAGCCAGAAATAAAATTTCTGTACATCCTTCAGTGAGGAATCCACAGTTCCCTTGAGCCCCAGCGAGGTGGAGGTGGTTTCTGAAGGAAAGGACCACAAAACCATGGAGAGGTTTCAGTGTTTTTATAACTTGAATAACACCAACCTGAGGATATTACTTAAGGATCAACACAAGTTGATTTTTCTGGAGCTGAGCAGCCTTTTGATTAGAAAAGCACTTTCTGTGGAGCAGGAGCCCAGTCATGTGGAACTGATCTGTTTTCTTTGGTGGGTGCACTCACCTTGGGAGGCTCTGGGCAGAGCTGGTGTTTGCTGGGCCTCTCTCCAAACTGTGCTGGGCTACAGAGCCCAGAGCAGTCCTGAGGTGGCCACAGCTGCTGCTGGAAAAACTTGCCTGGTGTGGCAATTTCCAGTGGGAACACCAAATGGGCCGTGCAGGAGAAAAGGGCAGGGACAGTAAACTTGTGTCACTCCTGGATGGGTGAAATCTGTTTCTATCAAGAGAGAGGCTTTGAGCTAGAAAATTCAAATGTGAGGAAGTGGCAAGTCAAAGAAGCTGGGAATGGTGCAAACTCCAAATTTCATGGAGGATTGCAGAGTTCCCCAGATGTACTTCTATTCAATTCCTTATTTGCTGTCAGCAAAGCTGTAACAAAGCAGAAACCAAAGTGATTTTCCTGATGAATGGCTACTTTGGGAACTCTTCCAGCAGTGGGGAGGAAGCCAACATGTCTTTTGGCTGCTGAACCTGTGCCTGAAGGTTATGGAGTAACAGGTACAGGTGAGAAAAGACTCCCAAACCTCTGCAGAGACCCTGGTCAGTGTGAGAGGAGGCTGGGGTGGTGAAAACCTCTCTTGGATTTTTTTGGAGTTGATCTCTTAAGCCCCCCATTCTCCTAAGCCCTGCAGGAGCAGCAGATGGGAAAGAAAGATGTGGCAAAAGCTGGGTTTTGCTGCTTGATGTTAACTCCTTGGCCAGATGGGAGCTCTTCTGTTCTGTCTTTAAGCACCATTTGAATGGGGATGAAGTGATAAATTCGGGGAGGGCTGGAGGGGATTCTTCTCCTGCACTGGATGTGGGGAACAGCCCTCAGGAGTTGGCTGGGTCTGCTTTGCAGTCCCCTGCTCAGCTTGGCTCTCAGCAGGGCTGGGCACCTCCCTGGGCTGCATTTCCAGGAAATTTTCCTTGAACCTTGCTCTGCTGGAGTCTCCTGGGCTTCAGTGGGAGCAGTGAAATCACTCAGTGCTGAGTACCCACTGAGGCTGCCTCAACTCCCTCTGCTCCTCAGCTTCAGTCCACGAGGCAAACCAGGACCCCAGGGGAAGAGCTGAGCCTTCACCTGCTGGGAAAAGGGATTTTCCTGGCATGGTTTGAGATCCAGTGCACTGGGAGAAGGTTTTCAAATCACTTTGATGCCAGTGTTAAAGGCAGTTTGGGAGATATTTCAGACTCTACTGGTTTCAGCAGTGCCAGAGGGGTCACAGCAGGGTCAGTGAAAAGGAAGGGTGGATTTACTGGTTGGAAGTGCACAGATTTATGGTGCAGCACACCTGTGCTGTGGACAGCAGGTTTGTGCTTTATGCTTTCCAAGATTTTCTGTTCCTTCCTTTTCTTTATTTCCTTAAGGAACTGACTACCTAAAAGGATCCCACATTTCCTAGTAAAGCTGAGTTTATTTATTTAATTTCCCCAAGTGTGAGGCTGCTCAGTGACACCCCACTTGCTAAGTGAGTAATGCCTTTGACTATTTGTGATTGCTCCACGTGCCAGAAGCTCCAGGGCTGATGTCACCTCCTTGCTGTGGTCCATTAAAATGAAACCTTGGTTGACATGAGCCTGAGGAATGAAGCAGAACAATATTCCAAACCAGCTGTTTGGGGTTTTTTTCACCCTCCTTTCCCCTGCTGAGGCTGATTTGGCTTTTGTTTGGTGCAGACCTGCAGCCCGTGACCTACTGCGAGCCGGCCTTCTGGTGCTCCATATCCTACTACGAGCTCAACCAGAGGGTGGGGGAGACCTTCCACGCCTCGCAGCCCTCCATGACCGTGGATGGCTTCACCGACCCCTCCAACTCGGAGCGCTTCTGCCTGGGTCTGCTGTCCAACGTCAACCGCAACGCGGCCGTGGAGCTCACCCGGCGGCACATCGGTAACTCACTGCCGGGGACACCTGCAAAAACCCCTCCTCAAAACCCCTCACCAGAAACCCCTCCTCAAAAACCCCTCCACAGAAACCCCTCCTCAAATACCCCTCACCAGAAACCCCTCCTCAAAAACCCCCTCCTCAAAAACCCCTCCTCAAAAACCCCCTCCTCAAAAACCCCCTCCTTAAAACCCCTCCTCAAAACCCCTCCTCAAAACCCTTCCGCAAAAACCTCTCCTCAAAACCCCTCCTCAAAATTCCTCCTCAAATACCCAGCCCCTGTTTTCCACCCTGAGGGAGCTATCCCAGCCCCAGGGTCAGTTTTTCTGAGAGTTTTCCCCCACCGCTGAGGGAGCCATCTCAGCCCCGGGGTCAATTTTTCTGGGTATTTTTCCCTCCTCAGGGAGCCGTCCCAACCTCTGGGGCTGTTTTCACCCCGGAGGGAGCCATCCCAGCCCCTGGGGCAGTTCACCTCCCCTGAGGGAGCCATCCCATCCCCAGGGTCAGGTTTTCCTCGTGGTTTTTCTCCCTGAGGGAGCCATCCCAGCCCCGGGGGCAATTTTTCCGGATATTTTTCCCCCCTCAGGGAGCCGTCCCAGCCTCCGGGGCAGTTTTCCCCGGTGTTTTCTCCCCTGAGGGAGCCATCCAAGCCCTTGGTGCATTTTTCCACCCTGAGGGAGCCCGTCCCAGCTTCGGGGTCAGCTTTCCCCCCCTGAGGGAGCCATCCCAACCTCTGGGGCAGTTTCCCCCGGTGTTTTCCCCCCTGAGGGAGCCATCCCAGCCCCGGGGGCAGTTCATCCCCCCTGAGGGAGCCATCCCAGCCCCGGGGGCAGTTCATCCCCCTTGAGGGAGCCATCCCAGCCCCTGGGCCAGTTCATCCCCCTTGAGGGAGCCATCCCAGCCCCTGGGCCGGTTCATCTCCCCTGAGGGAGCCATCCCAGCCCCTGGGCCGGTTCATCTCCCCTGAGGGAGCCATCCCAGCCCCGGGGTCAGCTTTTCCCGGTGTTTTTCCCGGTGTTGTCCCCGCTGACCCGCGCTGTGTCGCAGGCCGCGGCGTGAGGCTGTACTACATCGGCGGGGAGGTGTTCGCCGAGTGCCTCAGCGACAGCGCCATCTTCGTGCAGTCCCCGAACTGCAACCAGCGCTACGGCTGGCACCCGGCCACGGTCTGCAAGATCCCCCCAGGTAAGGGCGCAGCCCGGCCCGGCTTCAGGGCACGCCGGCCTTCTGTAAAATCAGAGTGGGCTGGGTTGGTTGCGTTGGGTTGCGTTGGAACATCCCCTTCCACACCCGCCGCTACCCCATGCTGCTCCAAGCCCCGTCCAGCCTGGCCTGGAGCACTTCCAGGGAAGGCAGTCCACAAATTCTTTGGAAAATCTATTTTACTCTTTTAGAAGCCACTTGACAATTCAAGCAGGGCACTTTTGTAGCTTAAGGGATGGAGGTATTGCTGAAGGAAGTTTCTTTGGAGGTTTAAAAGTTGCACTATGTTCATCCAACAGAACAGAATCTAAGCACAGCTTAGAGCAGAATCTGCCACTGTTCCCTCAGTGTTTTATCAGTCCATTGTTGTATCATAATTATCTCACAGACACGTTGATAATTTTGTTTGTGCCTCTAAATAATGGTAAGAAATTTCTCTTAATTTAGATTCACCCATAATAGATTTAAATAGTTCCTTTTTTTCTGGTCTCTAGTAAAATCCCTTCCTCTGTGTGAATTGGTTTGTTCTAAAGAAATCACATTTGCAGACACCTCATTCTGATTAAAGTCTGAAGTTTTTGCTGAAAGATTACAAGATAATTTATTTCATCTATTTGGAAGAAAAGGCTTTTTTGTTAGATAAATGCAAAAAGCTGGTGAGAGAGGAGATGCTCTTTGAAATGGAATTTAGTTACTTAGCTAAGCTTACACAAGCTGACTTTTTTACAGTTAAAAGCCTGTATATATTTAAAAACTGAACTTCTTTGTTTAGAAATATTTGAATTCTTTTCTTTTGAGAGGAGATCCATACGCTCCAAGCTCTGGCCCATCCTAATGGGTTTCCTTTCTCAGATGCAGCTGCCAGTGCTGCAAATTATGACTTAATTCTCCACCACATCACAGGAGTCCACCCTGGCTGCAGTCAGCATCTGCAGACATGAAAAGCCCACATTTCCGCTCAGACCCAGCTCAGGCACAGTTTTTGGATCCAGCTCTCCCCACTTTTGCCACAGTCTTTGGCCGCCTGTTCTTCAAATCTTTGCTGGGTTTGGAGCAGTTTCTTCATTGCTTTGTTGACAGGATTGAGTCAGTGCCACTCTCCCCCATGGAGAGGCTGATCCCAAGTGCTCCCAAGGGCTGGGGTCCAGCACTGGGATCCTCCTGGAGGTTATTCCTCCTCCCCAGAGCTCAGCCTGGCCCTCCACCCTTCAAACTTCCCTTCAGGCTCCCTGAGACTGCAGCCCCTGGGCTCTTCCCTGGCTCCAGAAGTGGGCAGTGCTTCCTGCAGCTGCTGTGGTCACCCTTGCTCCACACCAGATGAGTCCAGCCCAGGAGAGCAGGCTCACAAAGTGATTTTTAGCAAAACACAATTCATCCCACTCCAAGTGTTGTTTTTCAGCCTTGGCCCATGTGTAATCCCAAATGAGCCTTAGCTGAGTGCCTGGTTTCAGAGTTTAACTTGTTTATGGTTATCTGGGAGAAGGCAAACATAGCAACACTTTTTAAAAAGTGGGGCATTTATTTATTTATGTAAACTATGAAGGATGTTATTATAGTTCACCTTTCCCCCCTAAGAACAGTTGAATAAGTTGTTCTCAGTTGTTTAGCTGGGGCTAAACGTCAAGGGGAAAACTTGTGTTTAAAAAGGAGTTGGCACATGATAGTGAAACTGGAGAGAGGATTTTAGCAGGAGCAGTCCTGCCACCAGCCCTGGCAGCCTCTTTAACCCTCAGAGCTGCTTCCTGGCGTGTCAGAGGGGTTTCACTTCAGAGCTTCCCCGTTCTGTGACAGACTCAGCACAGGGAGCTCCTGTTTTCAGCCTCTGCATTCCTCCCCTCCAGGCCCTGCAGGGATCTCTGCTGGTGAGTGCTCAGTCCTAGTGAGGTTTTAAATTACAAGAGGAAGGAAACAGTGTCCAGGAGAGAGAAGGAGCTTCCACAGGAGGATCCCAAGCCTGGTCTCTTCAGTCACAGTCTGCTGGGGGGCTCTGGCATTCAGAATTCTCCCCTTTTCCTTCTTCCTGTGAAAATGTGCCAGCCTCCATTCCTGCCTCTGGGCTCTGAGGACAGGGAAGGCAGCCTGGAATTCTCGGTCCCATCAAACCAATGTCCCTGCTGTGTCCTTTCCCGCAGGCTGTAACCTGAAGATCTTTAACAACCAGGAGTTCGCGGCGCTGCTGGCGCAGTCAGTGAACCAGGGCTTCGAGGCCGTGTACCAGCTGACCCGCATGTGCACCATCCGCATGAGCTTCGTCAAGGGCTGGGGCGCCGAGTACAGGTGGGGCCTGGCCTCTGCTCCTCCTCAGCTCCCGGCCGGGAGAGCCCTGCTGGGCTGTGCTGCTCTTGGGAAAGGGCAATCAGCCTGTCCAGGGGCATGGATGGGCTGGGGATCACCCCAGGCTCTGCTCGAGAGCCCTGCTGGGCTGGCAGTGCTCTTGGGAAAGGGCAATCAGCCTGTCCAGGGGCATGGATGGGCTGGGGATTAGCCTGGGCTCTGCTCCTCCTCAGCTCCCAGCTGAGAGAGCCCTGCTGGGCTGGCAGTGCTGTTGGGAAAGGGGGATCAGCCTGTTCAGGGGCATGGATGGGCTGGGGATTAGCCTGGGCTCTGCTCCTCCTCAGCTCCCGGCTGAGAGAGCCCTGTTGGGCTGTGCTGCTCTTGGGAAAGGGCAATCAGCCTGTTCAGGGGCATGGATGGGCTGGGGATTAGCCTGGGCTCTGCTCCTCCTCAGCTCCCGGCTGAGAGAGCCCTGTTGGGCTGTGCTGCTCTTGGGAAAGGGCAATCAGCCTGTCCAGGGGCATGGATGGGCTGGGGATCACCCCGGGCTCTGCATTTCCTCACTTCCCAGCTGAGAGAGCCCTGTTGGGCTGGCAGTGCTGTTGGGAAAGGGGAATCAGCCTGTTCAGGACCATGGATGGGTTGTAGCTCTTGGGAACGTGTTGGGGATCACCCTGGGCTCTGCTCTTCCACAGCCCTCAGCTGGGAGAGCCCTGCTGAGCTGGCACTGCTCTTAGGAAAGGGAGAATGAGCCCAGTGTCTGCTCAGGAACACGGATAGGCTGTGGCTCTTGGGAATGGTTGGTCTGGTCTCTTTGTGGGATACACCTGGAAGGCCACGTGTGGTAGGAAGCAAGAGCTTTATCTGGAGCACACAGATAAATCCACATGGTCCATGTAGGAAATAGAATATTTTTTTCTTAAGATTAGATATGTTTTGGGTAGGTTGAGTGTCTTAAGACTGCACTTCTATCAAGACAGGATTATAGAATCCTGGAATGTTTGCTTTGGAAAGGATCTTAAAGCCCATCCAGTGCCACCCCTGCCATGGGCAGGGACAATTTTCACTGTCTCAGGTTACTCCAGCGTGGCCATGGACACTTGCAGGGATCCAGGGGCAGCCCCAGCTGCTCTGAGCACCCTGTGCCAGGGCCTGCCCACCCTCACAGGAATTCCTTCCCAATATCCCATCTAACCCTGCCCTCTGCCAGTGGAATCCATTCCCTGTGTCTTGTCCCCTTGTCCCTCCATGCCCTTGTGGAAGTACAGTGTGAGTGTGAGTGCTTCCCATGGGCTGGATTTAATGCTTCTTTTATTAGGAACTAATGGGATTAAAACAAAAGCAGATTGGCTTGAAAAAAATCTATTTTAAAAAAATATAATTATATATTATATATAGTTAAATCTCCTGATCCTTTCCTTAGGGCTTGCCATGGGGCAAGTGGGAGAATGTGGGAGCAGCAGGATCAGGTTTTTCCCAGTGAATACTGAGGCTGAAATGGAGATGCAGGAGGTCTGGTGGGTGGGATGGATGATGTGGTCACTCTGACCCCACGAGGACACTGGAGATGCTGTGGGAACAGAGAATTCCATAGTTTTGCTCTGTCACCCCACGGGTGAGCAGACATCTGAGGGAGAGCAGTCAGGGATGGATGGTACAAGCAGGGGAAATGGAATTTGGTGGAAAATGTGTGCTGCTTTCTGAGAGGGAAAGCTGGTGAGGATTTAAGCCCAGGGTGATGTGGAAATATTGGACCCTTTAAAGCCTTACTCAAAGCTCCGTGGGGTCGCTGCCATTCCAGGGCTGCTCTGCTGCAGGAGGGGGAGAGGCCTCAGGACCAGCTGGAGCCTGGGCCCTGCACGCTGCTCTGCCACTTTCTTCGTTTCTCCAGATGTTTGGAGTCCATTTTGTTTTGAAATCGTCCGGAGCTGGGGCCGGAGCAGCCCAGGGCTGGCTCCCAGCCAGGCCCTGCTGAGCTCCAGACGAGCGTGACTTACGGAAAGCCAGGGATCCCCGCGGGCTCCGAAAGCCTGAGCTCGTCTGGCTGCTCTCCCCACCCTGCCTCTCCTTCCACAGGGTTCTCCATCTGGTGCAGAGATGGAGATGTTCCTGTGGGAGCATCCAGAGGGCCATTCCCTGGTTCCTGGTTCACCCTTGGGCAGTCTGGATGGGGTGTTTAGTGCTCCTCTGTGCCAGAGATTTGGTGCAGGGAAGGGGAGCAGCCAGTTCCATGAGCAGCCTGTGATGGACAGGGACAGGGATGGTGGTGGGAGCTCAGGACAGCCCGCCATGCACAGGGTTCCTGTTTCACCCCTGGTTGTCCCTGGTCCCACAGATTTCAGGTTCTCCCTCCCATCACCAAATTCCAAGGACAGCTTCTGTAGGAAGTGGGGGTGTAAAACGAGGCTGTTTCCAGGCTGTTTCTCCTGCTTTGTAATCTCCCTCCTCCACAGCAGCTGGCCCTGCCTGGAACAAGACCTCGGCCATGCAGAGGAGGGAGAACCCCTGGCTCCATGTCTTGGTCTCCCTTTCCTTCTTTTCCTCCCCATCTCTGTGCTTTTCCACCTGGAGATACCCGTGGGGTCTGGGCTCAGGGAGAGCGACAGAGGAGGGGAACAGGGATTTGTGCAGGGGAAGCTCAGAGCAGCTGAGCTCTGGCCCAGCAGGGCCCATGGGTGCAGGAAGGATCTGCAGGGCTTGGGGTGAGCTCTTCCCAGCACTTCCACATTCTACTAAAACCCAAGGGTACACTAAAAAGTGAATACCCTTGTCTTGTGCATAGGAAAATGGAACATGTTTGGTGAACATGGACCTTGTTGTCTTAACTAGGAAAGGTCTGCAAAGGAAAAATCTGAGCAGTAAATAGGAAGCTGCTCCTGTGGGGCCATAACAAATGTGAAGGGACAAGGTGGGTTTTTAAAATAAATCAGCAGCACAGGCCAGAGGCTGTTCCAGAGCAGAGCCATTCCTTTGGCCAGGGTGGTTGTGGAGGCAGCTCAGGAGCTGGAATCCTCTCCTGTTTGCCACCTCGGTGCTCTGTTGGTCACGTTGGTGTCGTGTCTCTTCCCCTGGCAGGAGGCAGACTGTGACCAGCACTCCCTGCTGGATCGAGCTGCACCTCAACGGGCCCCTGCAGTGGCTGGACAAGGTCCTGACACAGATGGGCTCCCCCAGCATCCGCTGCTCCAGCGTCTCCTAAGGAAACCCCTCCTGGGGCCGTGGGGAACAGAGACTGCAACACTTAGCAGAGGCATAGTAAACAACTCCCCAGTTACTCAAGCGATGAGAAAAAAATCTGCTTCAAAAACAAAAGAGAAGCGGGTTTTCTTTGTTTTGTTGTTGTTTTTAAGTACCCATTTAAGCCACTTCCACTGAAACTGTCGGCACTTTGGTCGGGATGCTCTGGGGCCGCTGCAGTTGGAATCTGGAGCTGGAGTTGGTGAGGATAAAGAGCTGGATGTTGTTTCAGTGGAGAGCAGGCACTGCTCACCTGCCTCCAGGTTGTGTGTGGCACAGGAGCTATCCCAGCTCCCAGGAAACTTTCCCTTCCTTCACACAACTCCAGGCTCTGCAGCATCCCGGGAACACCAGAGCCTGTGGGGCTCCAGGATGGGAACACCAGACCCCGTGGGACTCTGGGATGGCTCCTGCTCCTGCATTCCTTCACCACCCCCCTGATCCACACGGTACTGCAGCAGCAGGGGGAAGGAGGCATTTCAGGCACCCTGAAGAACGAATTCCTGCGGGAATGTTCCGAAAAGGAAGGAATTCCCCACACTGGACTTGCAGCAAGGAGGCAGAGCCTGCCTGGTGGCTGAGGGATGATGCCCTCATGGATCAGCCTGGACCCACATGGAGCAAAAGCCCAGTTTGAGGCTCTTTGTGGTGTTGCTGCAGCGATTTTTGACTGGAGCTGCTCCCAGAGGGAGAATTGTCCCGTGGGGAGCCCTGGCTGGAGCAGCTCAAGCTCAGTGCTCTGCAGTCAGTCTGCATTAAGCACAGCAGCTCTGGGCTGTGTTCTCCCAGTCTCTGCCTCTCCAAAGCCCCAGGGGCTGCGTGTCCAGGTGGGGCAGGGATGGATGTCCAGGCCTGGCTGGAGCTCCCTGCAGGGGCATCCCGTGCTGTCACATGCAGCAGCCAGGACATCTCAGACACAACCAGCCCTCTGTGTGAAACTGTTCCAGCTGATGAAAATGCTCTAAGATGTGTTTTTGCCTGGAGAAATCAGGAGAGTGTGTATTTACTTGTATTATAAAATGTTCATTTTAAACATACATGCTCCAGACTGTTTAATATTTTTTATCCCTGCAGCAACTGTCATGGCAAACAATTTCCACAACTGGAAAAAAACCCTTAGCACTTGTTTTTATGATTCACATTTGCCAAATAAGTCTCATAACTTTGTCAGTGCTGTCCAATTATCTGTTTCTTTATATCTGCAGTGAATATCTTATGCATTTGTGCCAAAATATTAGAGGGGGAGGGGAGAAAGTGATAATCAGTTTCCTATGGAAATCTTTTTTCTTGTTTTTTATCTATGAAAGACAAACAAGCTGGATGTGGCTGTGGGAAGGACTCACTGGGATGGACTTGAGGATGGTTTTGATAAAGTTTTAGTCCTGCAAACTTCTGTGGGAGTGCCCTGATCCACGGGGGGAGCTGACTGGATCAAACACCCACCAGGAATCTCCATGCTCCCCCTTTGCCAACGGCTCCTTCCTCCCAGACCTCTGCAGCCTCTCCTGCTTTGCCAAGCCCACCACTCCTGGAGCTGAGGGGCCCCAGTGCCACCAGAACAGATCCCAGAGGCCGCTGCTGCTGCTGCAATGCAGATGAAGGGATGGTTTGGGGAGCTCCCTTCCAGAAACGAGGAATTGCCTTCTTTAAACATCTGAAATGTGAGGAGGACTCTCGTGGTGGATGTGCTCCTGGTGACACAGGACTTTGGGATGTCCTCTGGCTGAGCCTGGACTGGAGCTGTTGTGTGCAGCACAAGCAGCACTGGAGGCTTGCAGGGTGTTTGATTTGTTAAATTTTACATTGTGTATGCTCTGAGTTACACCTCTGCCTGCACGGACTGGGGCAAGAAGAGATCTGTACAAAACAGGATTTTTTGGGCCTTTTACAAAGCAGGCCTGTTGTCACCATGGATTGGTTCAGCATTGGTTCAGATACAGGTTTCTAACATAGCTGCAAAGAAAAATTTATCCTGAATTTTGTAGAAATGTTTGACTTTTGGCTGTTTAAATGAGAGGGGAAAAAATGTGCTCTGTAAAATGGCCCTGGGTTTCCTCCACGAGTGGCTTATTGGCTTATTCTGGTGACAAATGTTGTGTTGCTGTTGTCCTCAGAATCACAGAGGAAACTGGACTCTGTGCCTCCTGCATTAACCACAGAAATGCCTCTGAAATCCCAGAGGCAGGGATTGCAGGTGGTGGTGTGAGCAGGAGCCCAGCCTGATCCAGAGGCCACCAGTGGGAATAAATCCCAATTTTAATATGAAATTTGCACACGGAGTCATCTCCTCAGCCAACCTGGATTTCCACTGGGAACCCCAGCTACAGCCCCTTGCTAAAGGATAATTAATTGCTGACCATTATTAATTGAGGCCTTTTGAAACCCAGGATTCAGATGATGCATAAAACTTTGGTTAATCTCCCTCATCATCCCTTAAGTGAAATCCTTGCAGTGGAAAATGTGAGCTGGCCCAGCGGTGCAGTGAGATAAAGGGGAGATTATCTCCACTCCAGCATTAATTTCCTCTGTCCCCTTTGTTTGCTGCTCCCTGATTCAGGAAAGCTCTGGGGGTTCTGGAGTCACCTTGGGGAGCCCAGCAGAGCCTGGGCCCTGCACAGGGGAGGGGCTGAGCCCAGGGATGTTCTGCCCAGCTGCCCTGCATGCTCCCCGTTGCAGATGAGGTGAATGCCAGTTCCTGTGCCAGCAAGGCCAGGGAGCAGGGATTGGGCTGGGATTGCTGGAGGCAGCAGGGCCCTCAGGGCACGGGAGCCTTGGTTTGAGTTCTAGAACTTGATTAAAGCAGCCTTGGTGTGGAGCTCAAAGGGATGGGAGCAGCCTGGCCTGGCTCAGATTGCAGCTCCAGGCTGGAACATCCTCTCATACCATGGCAGGCTGGGCTCGTTTCTCCAGGATCTCACCCGGTTTTGTTCCTCCAGAGTCAGTAGCAGGACCTTTGACCCTTCCCTTGGAGTGGCTGCACAGCAGGGCCTGGCTGCTGGCAGAGGACACCCTGTGCTTTCCCAGGCTCTGTTTATTGTTAATGTTCTGAATTGCAGGTTGTATTTTGTGCTAAGCTTGTCTTAGGAGTAATCCAGTGCTGTCCATTTGACTTAATCTCCAGCAGTCAGCGTGCATATGCACAAAGATGGAGAAATCCCCTCGGAAGGCATTTCCCTGGAGCTCTGGCTGCCCTGTGTGCCAGGAAAAGGCCAAGGGAGCCCCTGAGTTGCTCACAGTTTCCTCCCCTTGCATCAGGATCCTCTGCAGGGTGAAGGATGTTCAGGACCCATCCCGAGCAGCCAGTGGTGGCACTGTGCCTTGAGCTGCTTCCAGACTGGAAAAGCAGGAAGAACCCAGCCCAGGGAAGGACTCCAGCCACATCCACAGCATCCAGAGCTCTCCTGGTTCTCTGAGGGGCAGGAGGATGGAATTTCGTGGCTGTGCTAAGCTGGGATGAGAACCAGACCTTCTCTAGTGGTGGCCTGAGCAGTGTGCTTGAGAAGTTCAGTGTTTTTTACTATGTACCTGCTTTTGTATTTATGTGTCTTTCTTGAATATTCAGATGAATCCAATATTTAATTTTTAGCAGAAGGGGCAATTAAGGACTCAGAGAATTAAATCTTCCATCTGCTCCTTGCTGATGATTGCTGGAAATGAGGAGTTTGTGATGTGAGAAGAGCTGAGCATGAGGTCCCTGAGCCCTCGGGAGCCACGGTGCTGCTGCTGCACCAAGTCAGGGCCCCAGACGGGCCCTTGGTGCTGCTCGGGGCTTGAGGGGGCTTTAAAAACCAAAACCCGTTCCTGCAGAGCTGCCTGGGTCACCCTCTGCCCCTCCAGAGCTGGCAGCTCCTCCTCTGCTCCCAGAGGCCAGCCGGGTTCCCGGTGCTGAGCTGGGACACCCAGCCCTGTCCCTGTCCCCTGGGGAGCTGTGAGCTGCTGCCCTCCCTGCAGCATCCCTGCCTTTGCTACCCGAGGCCTGTGCCATGTACGCCCTCCCTTTCCATGTGGAACTGTAAGGTCTGTTTTTGACATTTTAATAAACTTTGATTTGAAAACTCAGGCTCGTGAGCAAATCGGGCTGTCGGAGGAATGTGCTTAAGGACACAAATTGACACTGTGGGGTGTTGCCATGACAGTAACTGGGACACAGCAGCATCCTTAGGTTTGTGCAATCCCAGTAAAGCACAGGAGCTCAGTCACAGGTAAGACTCGTTCTTTTTACAGCTGGGACAGTTCTGTTCAAGAATTTAAAGCCAAATATATAAAAAATAATTTTAAAATTGCATTTAGTTCTTTTAACTAATGGGATTGAGGGGTGAGTATAAGTGGAGTTCTGTGCTCCAAGGATTTCTTGTTCTCCAGTTGCTGGAGAAGGCAGGCACAGCTGAGTATTCACAAGTTCAAAGTGCCACTGGAATTGCACCGCAGGGAACTGGGGAGCTGTTACCAGCTCAGGAGAGCAGGAGCTGCAGAGCAGCATTCCCTGCTCAGCCTGCAGTGTCCTGTCAGGAGCAGACCCCGAATTCCTGCCGTGCCCCCGTGGAGTCCAGCCAGTAAATCCTGGAGAAACCCTTAAGGAGCAGATTCCACCCTCCCTCCCTGATGAGCCGTCCATGGCTGCCCTGGTGGGAAAGTTTTCCTGATTAAACCCCGGGCAGAATTCCAACAGCCCGTGGCTGAGGGCAGGCAGGGCAGGGCAGGTGCCACCCCAGGACAGGGACAGATCCCTGCACTCTGAAGAGCCCCGGGAAGGTGCCAGGGCACTCCCCGATCCCATCGTGTGTGAACTCCTCACGGCCCCCCAGGTTTCACTGGAATTCTCTGCTTTTGGGCTGTTTTTCCTGACAGGATTAAGAGAACACTTTTTCCACTCGGGTTTCCAGCCGTGTGGTAATGAAGGGTCTGGTCCAGGCCTTGTGCTGTCACCTGGCTCCCAGTGTCCCAGTCCCCGCTGGACACGGGCAGGGAGCCTCAGCCAACATAAAGAGAGAGCTGCCACGGCCTGGAACGCGTGCTGTGGGCCAAAGCTGGGTGCCAGGGCTGGGGAGTCTGTGCCATCCCAGAGCTTCAGCTGCAGCCTGGCCTGGCCAGGAACACTGGGAATGCCAGCCCAGCACTGGGAATGCTGCAGCAGCAAGCAGCTCTGCAGCTGGGACAAGGATGTCAAACCTGGAGGGACTGGGGCCTTTAAGGGCACTCCCAGCCCAAACCACTGGGACATTGCGTGCAGCCAGCTGGGAATTCTGCTGTTGCTACACAAACTGAGTGACAGACACAACTCTGCTTTCCCACTAATGCCCCTTTTATTCATTTCTGTAACTTCTTGTTTTGTAAAGGAATTCTGTAGCCAAAACCAAAGGGTCTCTTCAGAAAAACCCCAAACAACCCACAAAAAAAAACCCCACCAGCAAAGTACACCTTGATTTTAAACCACAACACAACAACCTCAGAGGATCATTAAATTATTTCCCAGTGTCTCCAGCCACACTTCCTGCCTCCATGATTTGTGCCCCTACAGACAAGACCCACATTTACAATAAATCATGTTTAAAAGAGTTCTGAGTATGGGAATGAGCTGCTGCTACCTCATAAAAAGGCAGCAAAGCACTGGGTTTTAACTGAGATGATCTCATTAAATTTAAAAAGTCACATCTCTGTCACATGTCTAAATAATGGGTTTATAAAGTGTCCAAGTCCATTTTTTCTTCGCTGCCTCCACTCTATTCCCTTGGCACTTTGGCCATTTATCACCATTGCACAACAAAGATTTAGAAAGGGCAGAAAGAATCCTCAGCTACCAAGGAGCCAACATGGAAACCATTCCCTGCCTGGAATGAGGCACCTGCAGGTCTGTGCTGGGACAAGGATGTGGAGAAGGTGCAGTCACAGCAAGGCCCCGCAGCTGCCTGGGAAGGTGTCCCTGGCAGGTGTTTCCTTGGCTCTCCCAGTATTCCAGAATTCTCCCAAGCCAGGTGTTTCACCACAGGGAGCTCCTGCTCAGCCTTCCCAAACCGCCAGTGAGGCTGCAGTTCTTGTCCTTGAACGCTGCAGCTTCCACCCAGGAAGGGATTCCCAGCATTCCAAGACACTGATGATTCACATTCACCTTTGCTTCATCATTAAAAAGGGAATTCAGGGAGCACTGTGACAGTGCCAGCAGAATGTAAAGCCATCAATAATCGATGGCAAACCCGTGTCCTGGGACTCGGCAATTCAGGGGATATGGGAAAAGTTAATTTTGAAATTCCTAACTAAGGGTGCTTAACAGGGTGGATTTTCAGATGGATAAGGAAGTTCTTGGGGTCAGACTCTTCCATATGGGAATCTGTTGGATCCTCTCCCCACAGATCCACTGCCGGTGCCTGCACAGAGGAGCCAGGGTGGCACCTCCCCTTTCTCCCCTTCACCAGGCTCCACCTTCCTTCCCTGTCCGTCATTCCAGAGGCTCTGTGCTGCTGTGGAAGTGACGGGGGCTCCATCCAGGAGAAGGGAATTCCCCCTGAGCCCTGTGCTGCTGTGGAAGTGACGGGGGCTCCATCCAGGAGAAGGGAATTCCCCCTGAGCCCTGTGCTGCTGTGGAAGTGACGGGGGCTCCATCCAGGACAAGGGAATTCCTCCTGAGCCCTGATGGGCACACAGGAGTGTGGGCACTGAGCCCACAGGGGCCCCAGGGGCTGGGGACTGAGGGCAGAGCTCCCCAGAGCAGCTCTGTGCATCCTGCCAGGCCTTGCACAAGGCTCGGGCAGGGAGTTCCACCCCTGGAGCAGCAGCAGCAATCTGGCATTTCACTGGGAATCCAGGGAGCGTGGACAACACCTGACATTCCAGGGAAGCCCCATCCTCACACAGGCAAAATCCAAACAGAATCCGAGCCTGGGGCCACGTGTAATGGCTTTGGCACTGGGCAGGATGGAGCTCAGCAACCTCCTCCTCAGGGCTCATCCAAATCTGGCCAGTTTGAGCTGGGAAAAGCTCCATGAAACCATCCAAAAGCCTCACAGCTGAGAAATGGAGTTTGGAATTCAGGAGTCACTTCCCAAGCCCCAGCCCTGTGTGCAGAGATAACTGGGAGCACATTTGTTTATTTAAACCCCAGAGAGGAAATCATAAAAATGTTCATTTGAAAAATGTAAACTCATCACTGTTTCCTTGAACCACACACGTGTCACCTTCCAACATCCTCTGGAGAGGAGACAGGACAGTCAGACAAGGCCTCTGGAGCCAGGAGATGTTGTGGAATGTGGCATATGGGGAATGCTGTCACCAAGGGAAGCAGCTACAGCTAAATGGGGTTTTTGGCAATGAACACTAATCCAGGGCAGGATCATTCCCTCAGGGTTGCTCTGGCACTTGCAGCTACAGAGGAATTCAGTTCTCTTCATCCGAGGAGAGCCCTTCAATCTCATCCCTGTCTCCTCCGATCGCCATCCAGAAGGCTTTGGCCACCTACAATGGCAGAAGAGATGGCAAAGGGAGACAATCCCATCACAGGACTGAGGATTTTGTATTTCCCACCCAGAGAGGAGGAGCTGAGCAGCAGCTAAATCTGGCAGGCAGCTCTGCAAGTGCAGCACATCCTCTCTGAGGTGAAGGAATTTCAGCAGCACAGAGGCAATGGTTCAGGTCATGGGAGGCACCTGTGATACAAAACCTGTGCTATTTAAGGCATCATTAACTTTCCCACACTTTTCCACTGACTTGTGGAAGCTGGCCAGCACCCCCAGTGCCTGCAGGGCTTTCAGCTCAGAATTCAGAAAGGGGAAAGTCTTTTTTTTATGGCAGTGGGGTGGAACAAGATGATCTTTAGGGTCCCTTCCAACCCAAACCATTCCAGGATTTTATGCTTTTCTGGTATTTCAACCTTCCAGGTTATTCAGTTTTTGGGAGATACCTGACAAGTCTTCCCTAGGATTGTGTGGTTTGTTCTCACTACTTAATCCAGGAACTCTGCAGGAGCAGGAACTGTGGCTTGGAAAGCAAACACCCATTTTGCTGATTCCCACCCCAGTTCCCAAGGCTCACCTTCTCTGCGTGCAGCTTCCTCTGCTCGTGAGGCAGCGTGGCAGCTTTGTCTGTGGGGAGGAGAGGATGGGGCTGTGAAGCTCAGGAGTGAGCAGTGAGCACCTCCTGCCCTGCATTTGGGAACCCAGAGCAACACCTGCTGCTGTCAAGAGCATTATCAAGATGAAGAGCAAATGAATGGAAAGAGCAACTATCTCTAAAGGACTCCAGGCAGGAGAACAGGAATTTCACAGCTTCCCAACTGACTGCTGGCTCTCTCTGAGCCGTGCAGGAGGTGCCAGAGCTCAGGTCCATCTCTCCTGGTGCATTACCTTTCATTTCTTTCAGCTTTGAGAAGAGCCTCTCAAAGTTCTCCGGGTCCCCATCCCTCGTGGTCAGGCTGGCCAGCTCCTGGATGTCCATATCCAGCATGGGATCTGAAATACAGCTTGGTTGAAGAGAAATGATTCTGGTTTCTAGCAGAAAACCAGGATTTTAACAGCTGCAAATTCCAATGTCATAGGAGAAAGAAACAATTTACTGATTGCTCATACAGACAAATCATGGCATTGTTACACTGGGGATTCATTTTATGAAGAAATCCTTCCCTGTGAGGGGGGCAGGCCCTGGCACAGGTGCCCAGAGCAGCTGGGGCTGCCCTGGATCCCTGGCAGTGTCCCAGGCCAGGCTGGACAGGGCTTGGAGCAGACTGGGACAGGGGAAGGTGTCCCTGCCATGGCAGGGGATGGAATGGGATGAGCTTTAAGATCCCTTCTAACCCAAAATATTCCAGATTCCATGATTCTGTGATACATTACATGTGAGCTCATCCAGTAGTTAATATTTCTTGCTGATTCCAGAATGATCTGTCCACAAACAGCCCCAGAGTGAATCAGAGAGGGATGAGCTGATGAGACCACATCAAACACCAGAGCTCACACACAGCTGGGAAGGCAGTCCCATCTCCTGCAATGCTGCAGTGATTTGAGGCCTCTCCTGCCTCTGGCAGCGCCTTTGTGCCCCTCATTCCCCTAAGCCCAGGGCTCTGTGTCCCTGCCAGGCGTGCTGAGCTCACCTGCAGCACTGTCAGGCTCCAGGCTGTTTGTGCCAGCCCCATCCTCTCCAGCATCTGACTGGGATTCTTCCCTGTCTCCTGGAGATGGGCTGGACTGTCAGGAAATGAAGAGATCTCAGTATCCAGTAATGCATGAAAAAGCACCAGCAGCAAATCAGGTGCTCCCTGCTTTTCCTTCAAAACCTTGCCCTTTACCTCAGCGTTACTGCAAAACCTGAGCCATGAAAAGCCCCTTCTGCAGCACTGGGAACTAACTGGTGCTGCATGAAGGCATTTCAGGATGGATTTGTTGGAGATTTTCCAGAAACACCATGAAATGACAGGTTTTGTTTTGCCCCAAAGGGGATAATTTGGATATAATCAAACCCATCACGAATGGAGCTTTAGTGCTCTTTCCTTTGGCTCTGTGGCACAAGGGGAGGTCCCAGCCACCCCCAGTGGATGAAGGCAGGGCCTGAGCAGAGCAGGAACCAGGAATTACTGGAATTTCTGTTTACTTCTGTCTCCAGGGTCTCTTCACAGCCACGGCTCCTGTTTGCTCCTGCCAAGGTGCTGAGGAGACCAAAGCCCTGGGTCCTGTCTGCAAACAAAGCACAAAGTGCAAAATTACTGCAAATACTGGGGCTGGCCAGGTGGGAGAGGGAGTATTTCACAGCACCACGAAAAACTGTGCCAGTGCACTTGCAAACAGATTTTAAGCAGAAATTTCACATCCTCTCTAAGCTTTAAACTGTGTCTACACTGTTTGCTGCTAAATATTCCCCCCAGGGAAGAGAATGTGAGCCACAGGAGATGTGGGGACTTTTTAGAGCTTGGAAGCTTTGGAGTTGGAAGCCTCTGCTCCATTGGGATCTGAGCTGGTAAATTCCAAATGGGGCAGCTGGAAAATCCAGAAGCAGAATTTGCTGTTCCTGGTGGCCAGGTTTATCCTCCATGGGAAGCAGCAGAGTCTGAGGCTGCACTCAGGAAAGAAAATTCATGCTCACACATGGTCTGAACAGGCTGAGCACAACAGTGATGGCAAAGCAAATTGTTAAATATCTAATTCAGGATTCCTGGGGGGATTCAGCCATCAAATCCAGGGCTTCTTCTCACTGCAAGGTGCTCTGGGCTCTCCCCACTGCTGGCCTAGGGTGTATCTCAATGCTGCTTTAAAACCCAACCTAAAAAGTGATTGCAAACCTGAAGAGTCATCTAAGATAATAAATGTGGTGCAGTATTTTTAATTTAATCTGGCTGTATTTTTAAACCTGTTTTATATAAAAATATGTGCATAATGGGTGATATGATGAGGTGTTTTTTACTAAGTCAGGTTTTTCTAAGTCAGTTTACTACTCCATACAAACTGGCCTTGCACTGAACAGTAAATATTTGCAGTTACACGAGGTACTCAGGAGATTTTTCTGCAAACCTTTGTATTTTAGTCAACTAAAACTGAAAAATGTGAAGTTATTGTACCAGAAATAGCCAGGAAACAATGACTTCTGCCAGAAGAAAGATTTAATGTTACTTTTGAAAAGAAGTATGTTCTAAATGATTATACTCATGACTAAGCTCTAGACTCAACTGCTGAGGTGATGTCATTTGGATGCTCTGCCCAAATTTCCCTGCCATTTCTCCAGACTCTCATTCTGAGGGGTTGGATGTGTAACTGGGCCCATCCAGCACTCACACAAACATCTCCATGAGAGAATTCCTGAGCCCCACTCCCTGTTCCCTGATCTGTTCTGCCCATCCCTGGCAGGTATTTGGGGCCACTGGCTCTACCTTATCCCTTTTGCTGCTTTTGCAGACCCCTGGCCAAAGGGGTGGGAAGAAGTGAATCAGTGGAGCTGAATGAATTCCTGGAAAACCTTCAGCTGCCTGTGAAGTCCAGCAGGTCAATGAAGAGGAATTGGAGGATAGAAGTTTGGGATTTGCATCCCAAAGCAGCTTCCCCAAGTTTCTGGGCTGAGCAGAGAGCTGGCTTTGGGGAAGCTGTGAGGGTGGACATGGAGCCAATTTCTGAGTCACCTCAGGCAAGGTTGGACACTGCAGTGCAGAACGTCCTGGAGAGAGAACATTCCCACTCTGGCACAGGGCTGGGTGCAGTGATCTAATCATGGCCCTCGTTCATAGCTGGGATTAGAGCTTGTCCTGCACAGAAAAACAGCCCTGGCTCCACATTCCCTCCTCCAACACTGCAGAACCTCAGCCAGAATTATCCCAAATGTCATACCTTTCTGCAAAACCTGGAGTGTGCAGCAGGGATCTCTGAACAGCAGCTATTTGTCCCTGGATCCATGTTTAGGGAGGAGGCAGACACAACACTGGGTTGCAGGCACACCCTTGGAAAACCCTTCCTATAAACTCCTTTTATTGGATGTAAAAGTTATTTCAACTTCTGGGTGCAATTCAGGAAGTGGGTGATGCCTTACACAGTGTTCTTAAGGCAGGAAAGCCAAAAATTAGCTCATCCCACTTACTGGAGGAGTCAGGGGCTACGATGGAGCCCAGAGCAGCTGGGGCTGCCCCTGGATCCATGGAAGTGTCCCAGGCCAGGCTGGACAGGGCCTGGAGCAGTGAGAGGTGTCCCTGCAGCGGTGGAATGGGATGAGATTTAGGGTCCCTTCCCAACCAAACCAGTCCCTGATTCCATGCTCTGTGTAGTTTCACAGGAATCCCTCATGATGCTCTGAGCATGGATTCAGCATTCCCAGATTCCTGTTTCATAGCCAAGTTCTCCACTGCCTTTACCTATTATTATTCCTCCAGTCTGTCTCCAGCTGACACACAGTGATCCTTACACATAAAGTTGGAATTAACACATCAAAATTCACAATTTGTTTAAATGGCCTCCCTAATCAGGTAATTGGCTGTGATTAGAGCCAGGCTCATTCCTGGCCCCACCTGAGGTAAGCAGCTTTAGCTGGGATCACTCAAGCTGGGATTTAAGCAGGAAAGAAGCCAAGGAGCCTCTTCCAGAGGGCTGCAAATGGTTTCTCTTCCTGCCACAGAGGCTCTTGCAGGACAGAGAAGGTAACAGCAGTTTAACACCTCTGTGGGGAGGATATGTGTTACCTGGAGAATGCCTCAGGTTCTCCTGCTCAAGGAAACTTCCAGAGACTGAAGGGAGCTCTGAGGCACAGAGAACCAACCTCCCACCAGCTCCAGAAAGGATCTGCTCCTGGCAGACTCCCAGGTAGGATTGCTTGTTTGGCTGGGAGTAGAGGTAATGCTGCTGGATTTACTCACAATTGGTTACCTGGGATAAACTTGTTTCTAATTCAACTGTGTTACATTTAATAATTATTTTTATGGATCTGTGTGAGAATGATGCATTTAATGGTGAAAGAAAAAATCTGAGGTTTAATATTTTAATGAATAGGTGTGTGAAAAAACCTGCAGCTTGACACGAATTGTATTGGGGCTTAATGCAATAAAATTAGGTTGGTGCTTGTGCTTGAAAAAAGTTATTCCTGCTCTGTCTGGAAATTTAAATTCTCATGGAAACAGGTTTTTGAATTAAGGCAATGCTGTTGAATTAAGGCTACACCTAACAGTGCTACAAGTATTTGCTACTACACATTTACTACTGGAAGGGTCTCTGATAACTCTTCCCTGCATGGCTCTCAACCAGCCAGGAATTGCAGGTCATTCAGTGGAAAAGCTGAAGTTGGATTTACATGGCAGCCTGTTTCTAGGATCTGGAGGAAGCTGAAAACAAAAGCTGTGTTACAGGTTGTAAAAAGTTTTATTTTAAGCAAAATGAGCTCAACAATTTCCCTTTGAAAGCACAGTCAGGCTGCAACACCTTCCAAATATAGCTCACTTCCTGAGGGGTTTGTGGTGGTACAGCAGTGCTGTGTGGGGCTGGGGCTGTGCAGAGAAAATCAGGATTTTTCAAGGAGCCTGACCTTTACAGAGCACACCAGCGATGTGCAGGAATTTCCCCCCTGTGAGGAACCAAGCCATGTGACTAAATTCTGCTGTTCTGTAAGGTGGCATCTGCCAAATACAGGAAATGTGTTGTTAAAAAACCATTTTTAGCACAAGTGAGATAACCTGACACCACCTGCCAAGGTTACCTGCTTCTCTGCAATGGCTACACTGAATCAGACCCCACCTTCACCTCGGTTCTGATGGGGAATGGGAAATCCTCAAAAAGCTGCATTAACAAATGGAGGTTAATCATTCTCATCCTGGTTTTCCTGAGTCCCAGCAAGCACTGCAGACACAGAGATTAACAGCAGCCTCTCAGTGCCTTAAATCATTCCACACTTAATTGCTGTAGGAAGGGAGAAGCCACAGCAGTGGGAATGGGATGTCAGGGAGCAGAGGTGTTGGAGGGTTGGTGGTGGGCTGAGGCTTTGTGAACAAGAAATTCCAGGCCAAGCACTCCTGAAGAGTTTCATCTTGCTACATTTTCTGGAGCAGTTTGTGTGATTAGAAAGGTGATCACAGGCTTTCAAGTAAATGGCAGGATCTATCCCCGTAACCACAGCATTTCCTTTTCTGATGAGTCTAAGCAAAGTGACTTTTCCAAAATTCTAACTCTACCTGATAATCAGCTACCTCAGGAAATTATCTGAGGTTGCCCATTTTTTGCACTGTTGTAAAAAAAATCTGTAGTTTCCATGTACTCAAGTGGGGTTTTCTGTAGCAAAAACTGCCCTTAAATGTTTGGCATGGTTCCTTTGCCAAATCTCATCTCTGCACCTGCTATTCTCAAAAAGCTCAAAAAACTTTACAGCATATTATAACAGTATAACAAAAAACAATTTAACAAACCAAAAATCCCCTGCAACAAATGTGGAATTTAACCTTTTCTTCTACACTGAATCATGTATCAGTCTGATAAAGATGACAATTACAACCTATTTCCTACTAGAGTTTATTAGAACAAACTGAGTTTTCATTGCAACCTGCAGGATTAATGGAATATTTAACTCAAGTTATTGGTAGAATGCAAGTTAGAGAGGGAACAGGAGCAGGAGAAGTTTTACACAGCAATCCTTTCCTGTGAGGGTGCTGAGGCCCTGGCACAGAGAAGCTGGGGGTGGAAGTGTCCAAGGCCAGGTTGGGTGAGCTTGGAGCAGCCTGGGGTAGAGGATAAGCTGAGCTTTAGGGTCCCTCCCAAGGCAGGCCATGCCAGGGTTCTGTGATAAATCTCACCCGCTGCCTGTGAGCTCACCAGACACCACGGCAGGGTGGAAGCAGTGGCTGGAGCCTCCTGCTCCCTGGGCTCCAGCTGTGCCTGTGCTGCCCCAGCTGCCCCAGTGCAGAGCTCCCACAGGCACCTACCTCCCTTCATGACCACGTTGGACCAGACGTTGGCGTTGAGGGCCTGCACGATGCGCTTCACGCCCGTGGACTCGGGGAAATCGTCTGCACCAGAACAGAGAGCAGCTCTGAAACACCCAAAACAACTCCAGAAACCACCACGTGCCTCCAGAGCTGGGGCTGAGGGCCTGTCCCAGCTTCTCACAACCACTGGCAATTCTGCTCCCAGTACAAAACACAGATTTTTCACCTGGGATTGATGAGAGGCACCTAAATGTAAATGAATGCCTGACTTCTTGGGCTGAGCTTCCAGGGATAATGAACTGTGAGCTCAGCATTCTGCAGATATCTAAATTCTTTCTGTTAAATATTTAGCAGGAGGCCTACATGAAGTAACATCTTTACAGCATATTATAACAGTATAACATACTTTAATATAAATATAATTCTAATTATAAATAAGTAAAAACAAACTAGTAAATAATAAATATAATAATATTAAAGTATATTATACTTTTTAGTGGATATATATAAATTTTATAGTATCAGACAAGAAACTTGAATCTTTCACCCCAAGATCTTTTAGAATGCTGTATAACATAGAAATATATTAGAAAATAGATATCAGAATTACTTTTCCTTCTTTTAGAAAGCAAAGAACTTGAGACAACCATTTAAAAAGGGTGTGATGCCTGTAAAAAATGGAAAGGGATACCGTAAAGCTGTCCCCACAATAACTAACTCCCAAAGTTCCAGTAATCATGAGAACTGCAGGAACTTGAAAGCCCAGGGAAGGCATTATTCAGATTTTAATTTATTTACTGAATAGATCTGACACCACTTTGGATCAAGTCAGTTTTCCCATTTCCTCAGTTTAGTCAGCTTCCCATGTTTGTGCAGGTTGACAAAGGGGGAAAAAAACCAAAACAAAAACCCAAACAATCCTTTGGATACAAAACTGTTTTTGTTTAGAAATCAAACTCAAGTGACTCAGGTGCAGTAATTGAAACTGCCTTTAGAAATGCATTTAAGGCTGAAATCAGATGTTTTGCCCCCTGTGATGCTGCTGTTTGGTTTGATATCAGAGCCATTATCAAGAGTCTCAGTTCAGAGCTCTTGTCCTGACTGTGCAAACAACTGACAATGAGCAAAACAAAACTTGCAGTTTATTTGAGATGAGCTGCCTGAAATGTCAGGATTTGGAGCTGAGATTGGCCCAGTGTGTTTACAGCATCTGTTGTGCCTTTTGTAACTCACCCAGAATGTTTGGGGGGTAAATAAGTTACTCACAGGAACACAGTTCCTCCTCTGCATGAGTCACAGTGAATCAACTACCAGATTAAACAGCTAGGAAAGAACATGTATCCCAATATTCCAAAAATTAACATCCTGAGTTATTACTGCCATTAAGTAAATTGTAAAGAGCTTGTTCCCATAAATGGTGAAGAGCTTGTTCTTTACAACAATTATTCAATAGAAAAATAACTTGATTAAAGGTTACTATTTTTAAAGCAATTAGTATTTGTTTAGTCTAAGGAGTCGTCACTTCCGATTTTCCCAGTTTCTGTGAATCAAATCTGTGCATCTCCCTCCTTGACTAAAAAAAAGGGAAACATTTTTAAAGGCGTGCTGGGGAGAGAGGGAGACTTCTCAGCTCCTCAAGATCCAATTTTAGTAGGCCTTTAAAGGGGGGAAAGGGGTGGGATGTGCTCCAGTGAGGATTTTATAGTGAATTATTTTTGGTGCCTGCCATGTGCTTGGAGAACCTGAAACAGAGCAAATGTTAGTGACTAATTCCTCTCCAGTTATCTCATTTTACTCCAGAGAGGTAAGGTGTAAATGTTTTTGTGTCACTGAAGTGAGGAGATAAGGCTGATGCTGATAAGCTGTCAGGAAATGCACAGTCACTTTTCAAGAGTGGAACACCACACTTCTGACTCTTCTTGCTGGTTTTTTTCAAGCTATAAATGTTGGGCAGCCAGTGATTCTGAAACTGGTTTATTTCCTGTGTAACAGCCCGTGTTGCTCTGAAATGTTTGTAACAACCTGTCATTTACAGCCTGTCGTGCCACTGTTTGTACCAAGATAACATAAAATAGTTTTCAAGTCTTTTTAAAATCAGAATTTTTCTGCCCTCATGCAGAAAAATCTTCCTTTAGATTTATTTTCCAAGCAGAATATAAACTTCTGATGTATCAATACAGTCCTAGGGCTGAAAAAGGAGCAGATATTACTTTTACGTAGGTGCTGCATAAACAGCAGCTGGATTTGGGAGGGGACAAATGGAATTTCTCAGAGGAAATAACCTCCTCCCCCTCGTGACCTTTTATAGCTGAGACTCAGCCCCACCAACGGGAGCATTCCATGCTGTAATCATGTGGCAGATCAACAATTGCAAGGGGCATAACTTTATTTAGAAGGTACTTTTGGGGCACTTTTCATTCTCAAAATGGCAAGAGAAGCAGCAGACCTACCATCTTCATCAGGCAGCTCCTCAGGGCTGAGCTCTACCAGCTCAAAGCCATGCTTGATGCACCATTCTTGAGCTTTCTGTCTGCTTACACCTGAATTGGGAGACAAAAATGGGTATTAAAGGTGCAGATTTGAGATGAATACCAGCATATTTATCAGAATATTTAGCTGTGTTTTATTCCCTCGAAGTTGTTTGCTTGCTCTGGAGTGTATGGGAAGTGTATAGCAGCTGGCATGGATCCTCCCTTCACTGTGGATTCCAAAAATAGAGTTAAACTCCTCCTTGGAACTGAGGAACAGAATCAAATGGTTTTGCAGAGGGTCCAATGTAGGTGTGAATGAAGACTTCTGTTAACTCTGGGTGTGACACTGGGTTAAGCTGCAGGGACACACCTGAATCCCCCAGCTTGCTGTTGTCTAGAACCATAGCAATTGTGTGTGCTCAATGCTTAATTGTCAAAAAAAGGAATTGAGCAGCCAAGTCCTCCCCATTTTGCCAGCAGCAGGATCATGCACATCCAGCAGCAGGAATGCCTTTTTGTCCCCTGCAGTGGCAGGACAGAGCTGACTGAGCAATCTGGTGAAATTCTGAGTTCTAACCACATCCCACTGAAGGTTTCAGCTCCTGCTCCCCAGAGCTCTCCAGGCCAGTCTCACCCAGACTGAGAGGCAATTGTTGATGTAATTAGTAAGTCAATTATTATGCAGGCTAATGGCTCTAAGTGAGGATGGGAGTTCTTTGGGTCTCCTACCATTCTCAGACACTCTGTCACAAACGAGGATCATCACTTCTGGCAGCCACTCTTCTGTCAGGGGCAGCCATTCGGAGACACCCTCCAGTCCAGTTTTCTACAGGGAAAAAGAAAAGTGTTCTTTGGAACATGTCCTACAATACTTTAGTTTTTAACAGCATTAGAATTGAATTATATAGAGAAATAGGCTCTTTTTGTCTCAACCTCTCTGCTTTCTGCTAAACCAGTTTTCATTGCTGCTGGTTTAGTAGAAACAATTTTGGGTGAAATGCCCCGAATTTTATGTTTAGCTCCCCAAATTCTGTCTGTCCTAAAGGAGCCTTTAAGAAGCAGCCCCAGCGAGGAATAAAGCTGGAGGTGGAGAGCTGGATCTGCCATGGCTCCTGAAAACCCCTCTTCCAGCTGGAGGAGAGTAGTGAGAGAGAAGGAAACTGCTGCTATTGTTTGCAGGGAAATTTAATATTTAATATTGATCTTCTGCCAATGAACGGAACAGCTTAAAGGGGATGGATGGAGACTCTGATTGATGGTTCTCACTGTGCTAAGGCAGGAGAATGAAGCAGAAGAGCCTTACTGTTGTGCTGTCGAAGTACACAACAAACGCCTGCACAGCCTCCGCGATCTCTCCGGTCACGTGGAATGTGTTTGGGACCACACACAGGTGGATATCTGCAGAGTAGTATTTGTTATCTATCGTCCAGGGGTAGAAATTCACTCTTCCACTCGTTACTGCACCCACAGTAAGGTCATCTCTTCCTGTGATACCTGCAGGAGAGAAAAGGGGTGAGGAGGAGGGTAAAACCTGCAGCAAGAAAATAATTTGTCTAGAAAAGTACAGTGCCAATGTAAATCCATCTTTACTATAATAAACCAGTGCATAATCAAGATCTTTAAAAATTCAACTCAGTTTGTTCCTCTGTCCCAGATTTTATTGCTTAGCTTTCAGAAGAGTTTATTTTCTAGTTTTCAATATGAAATATGGCCCAGAAGCTGCAGAAAGCCTTTTGTTTTCCTGGAAATGTCCTTTCAAGTGTTAACCTCAAACTTAGCACCTGCAAACAGGATGTATGGAGAGAAAACCTGAACTTTATTACAACCCTTGCATGCTCTTTGAGATGTAAAGATCTGTTTAACTGTGACCAAAACCTGAAGGTAACTAATGAGAAAATCAACCTAGTTCCTGGAATTCAGCTGTAATTCCCATTAAACTCCATGCAGGAGCTCAACCATTAAAATCCAGTGCTTTGCTCAGGTGCTGTCAAGCTCTGCCCTCCCTCCAAGGCGGGAACCTTCCCAGGAACACTCCTGGAGCTGGATCAGAGCTGGAAGCAGAGCATCCCATTATTCCTTGAGGGAAAGGCCAGGAAATCTTGCTCAGGCTGGATGAACTCGTGGACACTTTGGAACACAGGTCAGTTATTTAGAAAATGGACTGAGTCATCCAGAATTGCCTGGGGCAGGAGAAGAGTTAAAGAATAAAGCACATGGCTTTTCAAGGATTTGTATTTTAAGGTACTGAGAGTTCCTGGAGCTGCTGGAACAGGCTGTTCCCCAAATAGTCTGGAGATGAATTTGAATTTATCTGTATCTTATTAGTAAAGAGACAGGAAAACCTCCTTGCCAAGGCTGCAGTGATTTTTACAACTAAACTGCAAAGCTGAGAAATGGATCTGGTGAATGAGCACGGGGCACAAGGCAGGGAGAGCTGTAAACCAGGATTATTTGCAGCCCTGAGGAGGAGATGGAATCTGAGGGAGAAATGTGACCTTGGAAACAGAAACCTGCAGCCATTTCCTCCTTAAGAGGATGAAACAGGAGTCTCCTCTCTGGGCTTCTTAAAATAAGAAGTGCCACATCTAAATGGTTTTTCCAGTTGAAGTTAGATTTTATTTTATTTTGGATGGCAATTATTTTTCAGATGATTTCAGATGATGATCTTAAATCAGATGATACTCCATGCTAAGATTACCCACCTCACCTTGGAGCTGGGGGACAAAGATCCTGAGTCACCACCAAACAAACCTGGATTCTGAGCTTTGTATTCTCAGAGGGTTTGTTTGGAATATGATATTTACTTCCCCTTACTAGTGTTCTGACAGTTAAAAATAAGAAAGTAAATTAAAATCAGTCTGAGCTAACAGAATTACAAGTTAAGGCCACAAGAGGCTGAGAATAAAAGGGTCCACAGAAATTACTGAAACCCAGAAAATCAGCAGTAAGACTCAGGGAGGAAAATGGGGTGAGGAAGAAAATCAGCTCTGAAGTCGCTTGAGTCAGTCACAAAGGGAAAGAACCTTTATAAAGGTTTTCAAAAGCTGGTATGAATTTCACATTTGCTTTGGAAGGGACATGTTTTAGAAGAGTTCATGGACAAATTTAGGTCTGAAAGCACTGCCAGAATGAGGCCATGTCCCATTTCCTATTACCTGCTACTTGTTCCTGTATTTTAAGGGGTTTTCTTTCATCCCATTGTGCTGCTGATTACCCATCCTTCATGCTGAGATTTTGCCAATCCCCTGTGAAATTTCTCTCCCAGTAAAACTGGATGTTGCACTCTAAACTCCAAGGGCTTCAGGAACCTGGTGAAAGGATCCAGACCTGCTGTGTCCCAGGCTGCTTGTGGGGCTCTAAGAAATCACTGCACAACAGCCTGATCACTGCTGGCAGGAACTGAGCAGCTTGCCAGGAGTTCTCTCCCAAAAAAGTCACTTGGAACAATTAGATTTTGGTCTTTAGAGCAAACAAGCAGAGACTACAACAGAAATATACACTGTAACTCAAACTGAGCTCTCATTTGATGCAGGAATTAGCTTTAAGGGCTGTAGTTACCACTCCAGCATTCCAGAAATTTCTTTTCTAGACAGCCTGGATTTGAATGAAGGTAGGAAATTCAGGCAGAACAGTTTGGTATCTAATTTAGAGAGCATTGATCAGAACAAACTCCTAGAAAATGAATACAGTAAAAGGAGGTGGCCTGTCCAGCTGAGCCCTTATGGGTGAGTTCTGAGTGAGCTGCTCCTTTTTCAGCCATTCCAAGTGCCAGTGGCTGGCCATGCCAAGAGCCTGGAGAAGCACAGGAGTCACTGTGTGCCAAGGAGGTGGCCTGTCCAGCTGAGCCCTTATGGGTGAGTTCTGAGTGAGCTGCTCCTTTTTCAGCCATTCCAAGTGTCAGTGCCTGGAGAAGCACAGGAGTCACTGTGAGAGCAGAGCAGAGCCAGGCCCGGGCTGGCCCTGCAGCTCCATGGACAGGAGTGCAAACACCCTCCAGCTGCAGCACCACAGCTGGAAAGGGCCACGGCACTGACAGAGCTGCTCAGTGCTCCCCAAACCAGCCCCCAGAGCTCAGCTCCTGGGATCCTGTCCTGAAACGATGCTGCCAGTGTCCCAGCACTGCTGGCTCCCACTGGAGACGCCCTGGGCTGTGTCCCACAAAAGCACTGGGAGCAGCAGAAGCTGCCTCCTCGCAGGGGTGGCTTGAGGCTGTTTTTGGCTGCTCCAGCAGCCTGGGGTGGTGACCTCCTGCAGCCCCACAGCCCCGTCCTGCACTGGGGTCACCACAAATCCCTTCCTCCACTCCATCCCGCGACTGATTTGGCTCTTTTTGTACCAGAAAACCATGAAACAACAAACAGCGACTGACACACGAGATCAGTGCCTGGCTCAGTAACTGATCCTGGCTGGTGTCACACGGCTCCAGAACTTCCAAACTTCTCTGGAACCTCTCCAGAGGAAAAGGTTTCATCACTTCCAGGCAGTCAGGCACTGGCTTATGTTTTTCAGCAAGTTCACCAGTTGTGCCCCTTCTTCACTCACAGGTATTTATACATTTTGATAAAGCAGGCAATAGTTATATATATATATGGGGTTTTTTTGAAATTATTTCCAGCTATTTACAAAAATGTTTGCTCATTTTACTGACTTAAATATCAACATTTCATTTCATATTCTATCATACAGACAAGATAAATAATGATTTTGAACATGAGAGAGAACATGCCAATATTATAAAATCTCACATCCCTTCCCATTTTTAATGCTGAATCTTACTGGGTCTTCTGAAAGTGCAAATACTTTTGAAAAGACCAGAAAAAACTTTTCAGAAGAGTTAAATAACCAGAGAACCACATGCAGCTCTCTGGCAGTAACTGCCCTGTTCTCCAATACCCAAGTAGTATTTAAGCACTTTTAGCACCCTGTGTGTCTAATAACAATTTGTTGACGATTACAACTTCTTTTTGCAGGTTTTTTCCTCAAAGGGATTAAGGTATTTACCACTTTTTACGGTATTTTTTCAGATTGAATAAATGTTTTAAGAACATAATGCCCTAAATGCTCCCAAATCCTCAGAGCTGTCAGGTACACAGAGCAGTTCCCACATTCTGGGGCTTGAGAGCCACCTGGTGGAATAAACCATCAAAAATACTCCAAAATTACACCAAGGAGAAAAGAGAACCCAAATGTGCTGGGGATGGGGAGGAGGGGAGTGGTAAAAATCCAAAAAGAAAAGGAAGAACAATCACATCAGACAGAATGAAAACCAAACCAATCTTGTTTGCAATTTTGTGATCAATACATCACAATTATAACAGGCAGATCTATGTTGAGCACTTTAAATAGCTTTGTTTTGCCAGTGTCCCATGAATTAAAGCATTCAGAGCACCCTGCAGAAACCTGAACAAATAAAAATATATCTAGCAAATGTACCATCAGCTGCTTCTCATCCCCAAGCCATTTTCCATTTAACAGCAGGAAAACCCTGGAAGAAGTCTTGGAATTGGCCTGAAAAGTTCTGGCAGGCTGTGTGACCCCACCAAACCCTCCCCACTGCTGCCCCACCCTGCCTGTGTGTCCTTGAATGTTTTAGTCTGCTGCATCTGATTTAACGTCACTTGTTATACAAAGCAGGGACTTACAATGCTGATGTATTTATTTTATCCAATGATTTTATTTCTTTCAGGAGGGTTTTGGTGCAACCCAGTCAGAGGACACACAGACAAGACTCCAGACTTGGAACTGGGAGCAGTGGAAGCTGAGATATTTCAAAGTGAGTACTACTTTTAAAAAGATCTGAGCTTAAATTTTAAGATTTTCTCAGCTTAAGTAGCTTTTTGCTCATCTACCTTTTCTGTTTCATTTCACTATGCAAAGTAATCATAGGGGAAACCTAGAGGAACCCTAAGTAATTCCTCCCAATTTGTTTATACTGTCCTCAAAAATAAGCTAATAATATTTTTTTGTGTGGAATCTTTAAATAATTCAGTGTCCTGCAGCTGCTTTGACAGAGAAGCCTTTGCCTGCAGATCTTATACTGTTATTTTTAAGATGTGCTTTAATGAGCCAGTTCCTGTGGGCAGCCTGTGCTTGGTGAGGTCCTAAGTAAGAATTGCTCAGAAAGAGATAAAAACAAATCCAGAGAAGCTCTGAGGGAGTTAAATTCTACATCTCAGTGTGCACAGCAAACTGTTTACCAACTCCCTAAAAGCCAGGGCTGCCCTAACAAAGGCAGCCCACCAAGACCATCAACAGCTTCTTCCTGGAATCCCCCGATTTTAAAAATACCAAAAACTCCACCACAGTTTCCTCTACTGTCAGATCTTATTCTTGTGCTCCCCTTTTTAGCCATAAAAACGGCAACTGGTTCCCAGGAAAACCATTTCCTACGGAATGAGTTCTACGTACTCGGTACCCAGTGTAATCCGCAATTGTACCAGCTGCAGAACAGAATTTTTATCTTTCCCTTTCAGTCCTTCCGCACTGAGAAAGAGGTGAATTATTTCCTTAAAGCACTAAGGAGGCTCCTGACACCCTCTGCAAGGGGTCGGGGGCTGCGGTCCCCCCGTCCTGAGGGGAGGATTGAGACCCTGAGAGGAAAACTGCGACCTTCACGGGAAAAATGAGAAACTGAGGGGAGAGCTGAGACCGTGAGGGGCCAGCAGTGACCCTGAGGGGAAAACTGGGACCGTGAGGGGATGGCAGAGACCCTGAGGGGAAAATTAAGACCGTGAGAGGAAAACTGGGACCACTGAGAGGAAAACTGGGACCGTGAGGGGATGGCAGCGATCCTGAGGTGAGCACTACGATCCTGAGGAGAAACCAGCCTCCCTGAGGGCCGGGGCTGGAGGGAGCCGCTGCCAGCCCGGTTCGCGCGGGCGCGATAGCACCGCAGCCCCTGGTTCCGCCCGCTCGGGCGCCGCGGCGGCCCCGACTCACGTTTGACGAGCTCCTCGGGCGCGAAGCCCGCGGCACAGCTGGTGAGCAGCGCCAGCGGCCGCTCCGCCGCCGCCATGGCGCCCGCGCCGCGCCCCTTC